GGAACCATTTTGAGATTCCCCCAAAGCCAGCGCACTGAGCCCTCGGTGGTGCCAGGAGCCTCGGCCAGCAGAGCAGAGGCGGGAGAGTCTGCAGAAGCCATTTCAGAGCCCGGCTTCTGAGTTGGCTGCCACATTTCCGGCAGGCCTGATGTACTCTGGAGCCCTGGAACCGGGGGAGCCTCAGAGGAGAGGGAGAATCCTGGGACTGGGGACAGTGCTCCCCGCATGGCTTCCGGGAAAACCAGCCCTTGCTTGGAGCTGTTCTGCTGGGCCAGGCTGAGTGTTGGTGCCAGGGCCACCTCTGTTAGCCTGAGCTTATCCCTCAAGCACTGGGACAAGCACTGTGGTGCCTGCCTCACTGATTCCGCAGCTCTGCAAGGCAGGGGCTGTGCTTGTCCCCATTTCACAGCTGAGGAAACAGGTAAGGGATGAAGTCATCTGCGCAGGGCCACGGAGCTACCAAGTGGTGAAGCTGGGCTTGGAACCAGGTTTGCTTACTCCGGAGCCAGCTCTCTTATCCACACAGCCCTCACTGCCCCCGGCCTTTGGGATGACACATCTCCAGGCCTGTCTTTCTAACACTTAGATCTGGTCTCATCAGGGTCCTACTTAGAACACAGAACCTGTGTTGTCACGCCTCCCTGCCTCTGCACTTCCCCCGTTGTCCTGCCTGCACCTTCCTTTCTAAGCGGACCTCACAAGTCCCCTCTGTGAAGCTGTCCATTCACAGTGAGGCCCCCTCTCTCCTCCAGCTCAGACACAGAGGGGAATGGGTGGCACCTGGCTTGAGAGGCTTGCCTGCCTAGGCCTAAGGCTTGCTTCATGCATTCATTTGTTCATTCACTCACTCACTCACAGATACCTTTCTCTTCCTGGCCCCGAGTCGGTATTGAGTCACTATTAGAGGTTCAGCAGTGACTAAGAGATACAATCTTTTTTTCAAGGAGGCTGGAATGGGACCACCTCGAGTTTGGGCATTCCTGGAGCTGGGTGGGTCCTCTTATCTTGGAGAAAAGTACAGAGTTCCTTCTGGTCTTATCCTGGGTGATCTCTGGCCTGCCTTTCTGAAGGAACTAGGCAGCAGGGGAGGCTGAGGCTCTGGGGTTGCTCGCCCATATAGGCTGGTTCCACCAGAGAATAGAGCTGAAACAATAGCTCGATTGTAAGGGCACTGCCTGCCCCTTCCTCCCCACACCACACACACATGTGAACGGTTGGTTCTGTGATCAGCATGTTTCACAGTGATGCATACATGTAATGGGACATTGTAATGTTTTACAATGTTGACAATTTTCTAATGTTTTACAACATTACAATATGATGTTTACAATGCCCCCCCCCCCAAAGCTCTTATGAAATCAGTCATACAGCTTACAGTCAAAGAGAGGGAATTATGATTTTGTCTTAGAAACTACTGTCAGAATAAGGTTCTGATGTGACCCATCACCACCAACTCCAAGCTGTCAGTGGCTGAATAAACTCTTCTATTTGAGGTGTTTTATATAAATTCACAGAAAAGAAATGCTATTGAATGAATTGATTCATTCTTGAGATTTCTACAGTGTGTTTGTCCAGGATGGCAGCGGGATGGGGTAGAATGAGCCCAGATCTGGGTTTGAATCCCTGCTTTTTGGCCCACTAATAGAGCTGGGCAGAGGTGCTGCACCCTCTGAGCCTCAGTTTCCTCTTCTGTGAAGTGGGGACAGCATCACCCATCTTAGCGCCACATGCTTCCTCTTTACAAGTCTCCTGCTGTGTGTGTCTGTGTGATTGTTAGCTTCACCTTCCCTTCCTCCCACTGGGCTGTGGATGCAAGAAACAGAGCCCCTCCCCTCTGACTGCTGTTAATTAAGACCATGTCAGATGAAATGGGCAGTGGTTAAGAGAAGGTCAGAGCTGCTCTGGCCGGTTTGGCTCGGCAGTTAGAGCATCGGCCCACAGACCAAAGAGTCATGGGTTCAATTCCAGTCAAGGGCACATACCTTGGATGCTAGTTAATCCCCTACCCTGGTTGGGGTTGTGCAGGAGGCAATCGATGTGAGACACATTGATGTTTCTCTCTCTCTCTCTCTCTCTCTTTCTCTCTCTCTCTTTCTCTCTCCTTCCTACCCTCCCACTCTATCTGAAAATCAGTGGAAAAATATCCTTGGGTGAGGATTAAAAAAAAAAAAAAGGCAAGCTTTTAAAAAAGAGAGGGCAGAGCTGAGTGTACCTGCCTTGGGCAGGGCTGCTGTCTATTATGTTTGTTCTATTTTTTTTTTTTTTATTCTAATCCTCACCAGAGGATATTTTTCTATTGATTTTCAGATAGAGTGGGGGGGGGGGGGGGAGAGAGAAACATCAGTGTGAGAGAGACACACCGATTGGTTGCTTCCCGGAAGGCCCCGACCAGGGACGGGGACCAAACCACAACCAAGGTACGTGCCCTTGACTGGAATTGAATCCAAGGGCCGACCCTCTAACCACTGAGACACACTCGCCAGGGCTGTTATGTTTGTTCTAATGTAGCTACCAGTGCCTCTCCCTGATGGCTTCTGAGGGCTTGCTTAGGTGTGGCCCAGGGTAGACCCCAAGGACCTGCGTCCCGCTTCAGCAGCCCTTGGAGTCTCCAGCTGGGAGTGCAGGAAACACCAAGCTCTGCTCCTTGGAGCTGATGCCAGAGATCCATGTGCCAACGTGGGGGACAGCAGTGCCGAGACCAGGTGCGTGGGTTTCTGAAGTCAGACAGCCTGGCTCCGAATCCGGTTCCCGCACGCTGACGGCTGTGCTGAGCTCATCTGTCAGAGGGGCGGCAGCAATGCCTAATGCCTGCCTGTCTCCGGGAGCTTGCAGTGATGCCTAGAGTCCCCTGCCCCTTCCCCCAGGCTACGTGCTTCACACATTTTTATCTCTCTACACGACTGCCTTTATTGAATAATAATTAGTCTTATTTGTGCTAGCCAGCCCTGTGATGTCCCTCAGAGCCTCTGCTTGGCCTGGGCTGCCCAGAGAGCACAGTGAGCCACCATGGTTCCAGGCTGAGGCTTCTGCAGCCCCAGAGTCCTGGTGCTGGAAAAGCAAATACTTAACATCAGCTTTTCACAGTGCTTCCAGGAGTTCAGGAGCCCACAGAGACCTCTGGGGCCACAGGAGAGATGCTACTGTCACGGGCTGAGATGCACCAGGGTTGGCTGATGTCATGTGGCAGACTTGTGATTGGGGTGGGGTTTGGGCAGGGGTCACTGCCTCAGGACGGGCCTGGCACCGGTCCTCCTGCTCTGTGGACCTCCTGCAGCATGGAGAGAGCTCACTTTCCTCAACCACTGCGCTGCTGGTGGGGAGAGCGACAGGTGGACAGAGTGCCCGTGTGGATGGAGGTGCTTGTACTACAGTGTTGGTATCGAATGCACTGAGTTCCTTTTGTCATTACGCCTGCACTCTTCCTTAGTGTGGGCTTCTGGGACCTTGGGAGGGTACCCAGGGTGGGCAGCCTTGTGGATTTCCTGACACCCTAGCAGGATATGTCAGGACAGAGGGAGAACGTGGGTCTCTGTTCTTTCCTTTCTGCAGTTCTGATTGTTATGGTTCTTACTGGTCAGTGACGAACATCTGCGGTTTGTCGCACACCAGGCACTGCGCTGAGGCCTTCCCAGGCAAGACCCATGTGGCCCTGCTCGAAGGTGGTGGAATGTGGTTTAGGGTACTGGGTTCAAGTCTTGGGCTGGCACTTATTAACCACGTGGCCTCGGGCACGTCACTTACCCTCTGTGCCTCAGTTTCCTACCCGCAAAATGGTGATGAATGGCAGTACTTAGGTGATAGGCTGGTTGGTGAGTTCCTGGATCGGGGTAAGTGCAATCTAGGCGCTCGCTGTTCTTAAGAGAGGGGCACTTTCATCATCCCATTCTACGGAAAAGGGAACCGAGGCTCAGAGAGGCTAAGTGTTCTGCCAGAGTCAGTTGGCTCACAAGTAGAAGAGCTAGGATTTGAACCTTACTCTGCCTCAGTTTGGAAAAGAACACGTAGGGAGCACTGGGCCAGCTTCGGAGGTGGCGTTCCCGACTTTCCTCAGAGCTGCGATGAAAGGGGACCCTTTTCTGAGCCACTGAACTGGCCTCTGGGAGCTCTCCTCATCCTCAGCAGAGGCACAGCTGACCCGTGACATACATATCACAGAAGCGGAGGGAGGGATCAGGGAAGAGATTGTTTCGAAATGTTGTCTGACGCTGAGCGCTTTCAAGGGACTCGGAATGTGGAGTCTGCGCTGTCCCCCTGCCTGGTTCCAGTCCTGCCCTATTTCCCAGCCGTGTCCAGCCTGCTGGAGACCTGGGGTGCCATCCTGTGTGAGGAGGGCTCAGGTGTCCTCGGACATGCAGAGAAAGCCAGGCAGCACTTTGCCCCAAGTCACAGTGGCACAAATCCCTGGCTGACATGTCCCTTCCAGTGCCGGAGCCCTTCGCCCCTCTCCGCCCCAGCAGAGGGTGTGGGCACCAGCTGCTCAGCTCCAGGGAACTTTCTGAACAAGGGCTCCTGGCTCCCACCGAACAGCTTTTGCTTTTACTCTTTGGATATCATCTCTAGCCAGAGTGCCGAGGAACCCAGAAGTTCAAAACGGCTTCTCAAGTGCTCCCACCCCTGCTGTCTCCAACTCCTTGGGTCTGCTGGCCACACACCTACACACTCGTGCACACACCCAGCTCCCAGCAGACCCAGGAGCCACTGCCATCCCCCAAAGGGTCTTTGTCTGAGGAGGAGAGTGGGCTTACTAAAGAAGCCTCAAAACCCCAACCCATGACCTCATGTCCAGAGCACCACCCTCTGCCCAAGCGCCCACAGATCCTGGCCCGGCACATGCCTTGTTTGGCTCCAAGAGAAAGCAGGAGTGGCCCCTTGTGGGATCCAGTTGCACACAACCCCCCCCCCAGCTGGAGGAGTCAGGGGTCTTGAGCCCTGAGACATGGGGCCAGATGCTGCCTCTTGCCGCCTGCCCTGTCCCTCGGTGCCACCCGGCTGCCCCTTACCTCTTCCCTCCTGCTTGGCTTCCGAGGCAGCTCCTCACATGCTTCTCCGCGGCCGTCAGCGAGGCAGCCTCTCCATGGCCTCCAGGAGGGCTCCTCGCGTCACAGGCTGGCCCGGTCACCCAGCAGCCCTGCCTCACTGGCCTCTGCTGGCTCTGCTCCGCCTGCACAGTGGGGCTCGGCAGGCTGGGGCGGGGGCTGGCCAGGGGTCCTGCGGGGCTGCTCAGGACCTGCCTTCTCCGGTGGTGGGGGCTGGCGGCCACCTCAGGGCCATGCTCTGCAGGTCCAGATTCAGGAGGCGCAGCTCACGGCTCGGTCCGTCCTTAGGCCGTCTGCTGCAGCCTCATTTGAACTCCCAGCTCCTTTGTGGAGCCTTTACATGCCGCCCGCCCGGAGGAAACTGTGAGCAAAGCCTGACCCTGGTTGGCTGCAGGCACTTCTCTCCACCCACCGATGCAAGAGGATCCCCCAGGCCCCAGAAAGGCTCCGGGCCTCCCCTCAGCCCCAGACAGAGGCGGGCCGCCCGGTGATGTCACACTAGCTCCGGCCCCAGCTGGCCTGGCCCCTCCCGCCCCAGCTCAGCTTTGGCGGCTTTGGCAGCCCCCTCCTTCCCTGGCACGAGCAGCTTGGCCCAGCTCTGCTCCCTGGCCCGCCCCGCTCCCCAAACCCCAGGCAGCTCCTGGTTTGCTCTGCAAAGCAGCCTGCTTCCCCTCTGACTCAGGTAATGGGCTGGATCTGCTCCTGCTGTGCAGGCAGCAATGTGCAAACAGCAGAGAGCCCAGGCTCCCACCCTGTCAGAAGAGCCCCAGGTGGGCAGGCAGCCCCCCCATGGCCTTCCTGGAGGCTTCATTCCTGCCTCGAAACCCTGGGGACAGAGCCCAGGCTGCCTGCACAGAATCCAGTAGCATCTGTGCTGTGCAAGTTAGCGGGAGACAGGAGCCTAGGACATGGAAATGCCACAGCTGGGGCGAGGGCAGCACGGGGGGAGCACTGCCATTCCCCACCTAGATGGCTTTGCTTAAGTCGCCTCTCTGGGTATCCCATTCATGCATCAGCAAATGAGTGAATACTAGTAATCTACCTCCAAGGGGTGCGGTGAGGATTCTGTGAGGTTACCCCGGAAAGAGCTTGGCACAGGGCAGGACGCCTCAGTGGACCAAACTCACAGGTGGGCTGGGCGTTGCTGTGACCTCCCAATCAGGCTCTTCAAAGAAGAAATAGTGGGGGACCATCAGAGTCCTCAGCGGTCTGTCATCAAGGTGGAGTTGTGAATGCTTATAGAGTTGGAGCAAGAAAGAAGAAGACAGCACTGGACCCCGAAAGTGAGCGGTCCTACGGGGCGGGGGGGAGGAGGGCATGTATCGGGAAGGGGGTCATCAGGCACAAGTGTGGCCCTCTGCCTGGACAACATCCATGGAAAACATCGGTGGTGACTCTTCTCTCCTTTAAAAAATATTAGTGATGATGATGGCAGTGGTGCTGATGTTTGGGTCCAAATTGAGAGAAATTTTAATGGGCTTCTCCTCACTCCTAAGCACAGTGTATCATGTTCGTGGTCCCTGGGCCAACGGGTCCATTGTGGCCCTCCCCTCCTAAGTCGACTGCCACTTCTGTCTTTAGCTTCCTTTGGCATGCTCAGACGCCCTCCTTTTTCCGTTTGTCAGCCCCGTTTCTTTTTAGAAGGCGGATCTTTGCCAAAAGACCCCAGTAGGTTATAGGCCACAACATTAGCCAGATAGCTGGATTGGACAGAAACCCTTCCCACACCTCCTGTGGGAGTAAAGATACCCATCCATTCTTTGGATTCTCCCACAGGCCTGGAGGGGCATGGCGGGGCCATGGTCAGCCCCTGGTGGTGGAGCGTGGCAGGCTGGGGGCTCGAGATCAGCACCAGCACGGGATGGGGGGCGGAATTCTTCTAGAGCTATACCCTTGACAGCCTGGAGGCTGGCCTATATCCTTTTTTTTTCTCCTTCCCTCTTCTCTCTCTTCTTTAGGATGTCTGTCTCTCTTCTGCAGGGTGTGGAACCTGCTCTCAGCCAACACCAGGAATCCAAAGTCTCTGTCCTCATAGAGCTCACTGTCAGGAGGGGAGACAGACAGACAGACTGGGGTACATGAGAAGTCTGGGTGCTAAGGGATATCTAAGCCGGAGGCCTGATCAAGCCTGGACAGGGCAGTCAAGGCAAGCTCCCTGACAAAGTGGTGATCTCACTGAACCTGGACACTGGTAAGAGTTAGCAGATTGTGAGCCTGGAGAAAGGATTGTGGTCTGGGCAGAGCAATAGTGTGTAAAGTCTGTGTGGTTGGATTGCTTTTTCAAAGAGATGGCTCCAACAATATCTGCTGGTCCACCGTGAGACCTTGACACTCCTCCCACTGAGGGGTAGGGCCTCTGGCCTCTCCCCTTGAATCCAGGTGGGCTCATGACTTGCTTGTAACCAATAGAATGCAGTGGAGGTGACACTGTGGGACTTCCAAGGCCAGGTGAGAACAGGTGGTGCAGCTTCTGCCTTGTTCACTGGGACACTCTGTTTTGGAGCCTGAGCCAGGCTGGAGCCTAAGAAGTCCAGCTACCCACAGGCTGCCGCGCAGAGGCCCCCTGTAGCACAGGTCCTGGCTGACAGCCAGCATCTACCCCGAGGGGAGGAAAGATGCCCCTAGTCATCAAGTTGAGTCACCCCCCAGCTAGAGAGTCTTCCTGCTGAGGCCCCAAATATCAGGAGCAAAGATGAGGCCTCCCACTGTTCCTTATCTGAATTCCTGACCACAGAGCCCTTGAGGATAAGAACATGGTAGCTTTAGGCGCTTAGTTTGGGTGGCAATTTGTTACACAGCAGTAGTAACTGGAGCAGACCCTAAGGAAAGGGCAGTTTCAGGGAGTGCTTTCCTGGAGCTGAAAAGAGCATTTTTCTGAGGAGAGAAAGGGGAGCAGGACAGAACATGAGGCCTCTTGAGAGGTGGGGCTTTATCCCAAGGAAGGTCGGAAGCCACTGAAAGGTTTTGAGCATGCGGCGTTCTGAATTGCTTTTACTTTTAGAAGCCCCCCGGTAATTGTTGACTGCAGCCTGGCTTGACACGTCATCCAGAGCTGGTGGGAGATGGCTGCAGCATCCTGGTAAGAGAGGCAGTTGGCCTCACTAGGTCGGTGGAAGGGGGTAATTCCCTGACTTTCCCTCCCTCTGGAACAGCTGCAGCCCACGTCTCTTGAAAACCAGTTTGCTTTCACAATTCAAAGTTCCTAGTCTCATCAAGTGGGGGAGGAGCACCAGGGTGGCCTGTTCTGTCCATCTTTGCATAACCCCTGCCCCTTTGGTGGCCTTGGGCAGTTGAGTATGCTGCTGAGGAGCTTGAGCCGTAGAGGCAAATTCTAGTCCTACCACTCAGTAGCTCTGAGCCTCACTTTGCTCACCTGTAAAATGGAGAGGATACAAGGATTTACCTCATAAGGCTGTTGTGAAAATTAAATAAGACACATTAAATGTAATACACAATGGCTAGTACATAGTAAGTGCTCAATAAATGTTGGCTATAGTAATTTTTATTGCTTCCTTGGCTGTGAGTTCCCTAAGCACTGGGGCATGAATGGGCTAGGCCATGTAGAGTGAAAGGGTTAGTAATGTTTTAAAGGGTAAAGGTAAAAGCTTGCAAAAGGTGGAAATTGTGAAAAAATTGTGTTGCTTGCATGACCTTTGCTCAGCCTTCTGTTGAGTATGGATAAGGATTATCTGGATTGTCCACAAGGCCGTGAATCACCCAGCAGATGCAGGACGAGATACCAGGCCAGTCCAGCTGCAAAGTGGACAACGGGCCAGGCAGAGTACATTGGCAGGAACTGCCAGAAGCTAAAAGTAGAGTATATAACCTACACCCCAATTGTTATTTGAGGTGGACCCTTTTCGGATCAGCCTGCCTGCACCCAGGCACATGCAATAAAGCCATCTTGCTCTACATTGGCCTTGTGCTGTGGATGTGATCTCCCGCCAGCTCAGACCTTTTATAGAGCTCTCCTTTTGTCTTGCCCAGTGCAGTGGAGTGGGTACATGAGTGGGTAAATAGCTGTGCCTTAGTCTAACAGACCCAGGCTCAAATCCCAACTCTGTGCCTAACCTGGCAATTTTCTGATTCTCTTTATTTCTTTTTTTAAATACGTTTTTATTGATATTTTAGAAAAAGAGGAAGAGAGAGAGAGAGGAACATTGATGTGAGAGAGAAACATCAATCTGCTGCCTGCTGCACACCCCCTACTTGGGATCGAGTCCAAAATCTGGGCATGTGCCCTGACTGGGAATCAAACTGGGACCTCTCAGTCCATGGGACAGAGCTTAATTCACTGAGCCACACTGGCTGGGCAAGAATCTTAATTATGTCCCACAGTTTGTATAAATTATTTCATGTCTTATCACCTTCCTGACAACTACAATTTTTTTTTCCTGCTGGGATGTTGAACTGAGATACTGTGTATGTGGTAGGAGTGTGTGGGGGGACTGTATGGGAGTGTTATAAGGGGGTACTTGGGAGGGGAACTTTGTTGTATCTTGTAATCTCAGAGTCTCACCAGCATTTCAAGCTTCACATATCCCAAATTGATTTCCCCCCTTTTTAGAACTTTTTAAATGCCTTTCCATTGTCTTCTGGCCTACATTGTTTTTGATCAGAAATTCATTCACTTCCTTATTGTCATTTCTGTGTATATAGTAAGTCTTTTTCCTTCTGACTTCTTTTCATATTTCTCTTCTTTGATTTTTAGTAGTTTGACTGTGGTATGACTAGAAGTGGTTTTCTTTGTATTTATTCTTTGTAGGCTTCACTGATCTTCTTAGATCTATGGGTTGATATTTCTTACTGAATTTGGGGATGTGGGGTACTTTTTGGTCATTATTCCTTCAAATATTTTTACTGCCCAATTCTCTCTCCTTCTGGAATTCCATTTACACACTAGGTTTATCCCACTGAAGCTCCATGTATTTATTTATTTATATCTTTTTTTAATTCTGTTCTTCAGTTTGGATCATTTCTATTACCTATCTTCAAGTTTGATGATCTTTTCTTCTACTGTATCTAATCTGTTAATTTCATCCAAAATATATTTTATGTCAGGTACTTTATTTTTTGGTCCTAGAATTTACCTAGGTTTATTTTTATCAATCCCATTTCTCTTCTGAGATTCTTTACCCATTTATTTATTCTATTCTTCATTTCCTGAAAATCCTGTATCTATTTATAATAACTATTTTAAAGTCCTTGTTTACTATATCCAACATCCAGTTCATCAATGGGTCTGATTTTATTGACTATTTTTTCTCTTGATTTTGAATCCTATTTTCCTGCTTCTTCACATATCTCTATATTTTTTATTGTGTACTGAGGTTAGACATTGAGGATGAACATTTTGGATGATACATTGAAAAGAGTGTATTTCATTGTCTTCTTCTGAAGAATGTTGTTTTGTTCTAGCAGGAAGTCAAATTACTAGTATGTCCACTTGAGTTTGTGGAGGCTAG